CCCCCACAGCCCCCCCCCCCCCCCCCCCCCACACACACACCAGCCCTCTGTCCCAGCCCTGAGTCCTCCTCCCACACACTTAACTGCTTGACCCACCCCCACCACACACTCTCCATGGAATCATAGAACACTAGAACTGGAAGGGACCTCAAGAGATCATCAGGTCCAGTCCCTTGCCTTCATGGCAGGACCAAGCACTGTCTAGACCAATGTTTCTCAACCTTTTTTTTTTTTTTTTAATAAAATACCCCTTTATTAAGAAAAAAAAGTAAGTACCCCCAGTAGCTACAGTTTTCAGACACTATTTTTTTCTACCATTGCGACATATTTTGTTTAAACAACTTAATCGTAACCGGGCGGGCAATGAAACTTTTGGATATAAAAAGTACAAAAATAATAAAGTGCTGTAAAACTTAAAACAAAAATTCAGTTTTCTCCAAATTTCAGTTGTGTTGACCTACCCCCCAGACTTCTCTTGAGTACCCCTAAGGGTACTCATACCACTGGTTGAAAAACAATGGTCTAGACCATCCTTGATAGATGTCTATCCATCCCTGATGGATAGATAGATCCATGTGCAGAATGAGTTTTGTGAAGTGTATCAATATGGACATTACGTGTCACACATCATCTCCATATTGGTGCACATTACAAAATTCTTGCCACACAGGGCAGGCCCGCTGACAGCAATGTAGGATTGCTAACCCGCCAGGATTGTCCCGGAGTCTCCAGGATGTAAAGATTAATACACTTGAACCTCTTTAATCCGGTAGCCTTGAGAAATAGGCTATGCCGGATTATGAAATTCTCCAGACCATAATGAAGGGCACTTGACCTGGGGGTGCAGGATCTGAGAGGGAAGGAAGGAGAGTGAATGAGAGGGATCCGGTTGTGGTGCTTACCTGGCACCCCCACCACTCCCAAACCTGCACTTTGCTGCGCTTCCAATTCCCCAGCTGGGGGACTTCCTCCTTTCCTTGATGGGGTCCAAACAGCAGAGGTTCCAACCAAAACTGTCAATCTTACTTGAACATCTGTAAAATATGTTGTGAGCAGTGCCTCATTTTGGTATCTCAAACAATAATGTAGTCGAGTGTAAATGCAAGTAAGCTGAGTTCACCCATTTCTCATTTGGAAATATGAAATTTATGTTCGGTTACCTACCTTTAAAAAAAAAAACCTATGCCACTGATTTCAAGTGAGTAGAGTTTGCAGGAGAAGCACAGGTCTGCCAACTACAATAATTCAAAATTTGAAATGGGTTTTTAAAATAATGGTTCTTTGTATTTGCCTTCTGGTTGTTCCACTTTTAGGGTTCACAATTTCAAGCGTTCTTTACAACTGGGAGTACTAGAAGCTTATTTTGTTAAAAATAAAATCTGAGTTGCTCATATAAAACATGATTCCAAAGGCTAGGGCTCTAAGAAAAATATTAAATAATGTGAAACTCTTGATAAATTCACAAGAGTAGGCAGCACTAACATCACAGGATTTTTTTCCCCAAATAATTCACACTACATAGTCATTCAAGTTCTATGCCTCTTCTCCTCTTCAATTTTTATTCCAACTCCATACCCACAGTCATAGTTCAAATATATTATGTGAGGATACATGTATGTCTTATTTAAATACATATCCCAATTATGGACAGAAGAGAGCTGGAGAAAATTATAGGCCAGCAGTCTCAAATTCAGTTTACTTTAGGGGCAGTGCCAGTCCTCAAATTCTCCTAGCAAGCCAGCAGGCACTGCCCTCTTGCAGAGGTCTGGGATGGGGAGCAGGGGTTTCTGGGCATTCTCCTCTCCCCTCCACATCTCCTAGCCCCTCTTACTGGCCCACACACTCCCTCCCAATACAATCCATGCCCCTTTCTGCAGTCTCTGGGTGATTTAAAACCTCCTGGAGGCCCCTGCTACCACCACCAGCAATACAGTGGTGCTAGAGTGGCTTCCTACTGCTAGCTCCATGCTTCTCCCAGCACATCCCTGTGGCCCAGGAAAGGTGTGTGCAAAGTCATAGATGCAAGCTGTGAAACTATTAATTCATGTCGTGAAACTCACTAGACATCAGTGATGCCAACTCTCCTGATTTGATCACAAGCCTCCTGATAATTCATGCATTTTATTTTTTCCTGAAAAGCACGAGCAAGTTTGTTAGAATTAAGCCAGATCTGAGAATTTCACTACTTGATGCCTCATCCACCACTCTGTAATTACTCTGATTTAATAGATTATGATTCTTTGTTGGTACATGGTATTAGAAGAAAATCCCAGACTTTTTTTTTTTAAAGGAAGACTTTAGGTCTCATGGTTTGTGGAGAAAAGCTAGGAAACATGCCCCAAGTTCAACCAAAGACCTCAAACACCAGATGCCAAATAAAAAATCACCAAGTATATTATTATCTGTGATTTCAAAAAATAAATTCTTTTTGTGGGGTGGGGCGGGGCAGATTATTCATGAGTTTTGAATGATTGGGGTTGGCAATAAAGCACAAGCAATTTAACAGTGTCTTCCCCCTGTTTCCAGGAGCTCAGGCAGAGACCAGGATCCTACAAAAAAGACATGAAACTGAATCCTCACCTTGACACCCCCATCTCCTCCTGCTTGCATGTGCCCCCACTAATATCTGTGCCCTTGCCCTGGAATCCTGTCTCCCCTACCCTGGTCACAACTACGTCCTTGCACTGGAATCCCTTGCCCTCACCTGAAGTAAACAAAAATCCACCTGCACGACCCCACCAGCTAAAGAAGCACATCAGCTCGAGCAGCTCCCTGGCCTGTGAGGTTTGCATCAAGACAGTGTAATTTTAGGGAAAATACAATTTTTCTTAATCTAACAAAGTTCTTAAATCGATGTTAAAAGAAAGTATTTCTTTCTGTGATTCTCTACCATTGTTATGAGGCTTTGGGGTTTCATTTTAGACCCATTAAAATTCACACAGCAACAGCAGTGACTAAACAAGCTTCCCCCATCTCACTGAGCCACTATAGGCCCAGTTATTTTCTCTAGCATCTGGTTATTTCAGTCTAATATTTTTGCTTGTTTGTTTTCTTTCCTTATTTTATTTTAGCTTTTGTGTGGGCGTTTTTGCAATTTGTTAACATTTGGTCTAAGATTTGCTGATCAGAGATGTATTAGTAACAGTTTTAAATGTTTTGCCCGTCATCGCATGTGGCTTAGGTAATTTACACATTTTTCAAAATAGTATTTAACATTTACTGTAGAATAGGCAGGAAGTACTATAAAAGCCAAATAATGAGATTTGACAGTGATCCAAAGGTGTCTTTTTATGGTTGAGAGCCATGATTCAGACTCCATGCTCAATCAAAGGTTGGCTCCACATGAGCAGCAATGGTTTCTTTATTAAAAAAAAAATATCTGTTGTATTATTGTACCCAAGAGACAAGACTGGACGCTATGTCCTTCAATTCAGTACATAATTTCCCCATAAATCCATGTGCTTATGCATATTGGGTTTTCATGTATAACTTTTAATATATTTATTTAACAACTTTCTTCTACATCACACTTGTGTATTGGCTTGGTGTATGCATGATGTAATGAACATAATTTTCAATCATTTATGTATGGCATAAACACTTTTAAAAATTAAATGATAATTAACCATTTTCAAACATCTACATTTCTGCATCTGCCCACCTCACCCTGCTGTAGGACCCCCACTCCCATACATTGTGTAATCTGTCTCCCAAGTTGCCTCTCCAACCTGAAACACAGCTGCCACTACCCAAACACCACACTATCCCTTTCCCCACAAACACACATCTGCTGCTATGCAAACCACATACACGTGTTCCTTCTAAGTAGGAATGGGCCCCAAAAGAAAACATTTTAAGTAAACTTTGACTTTTGCCCTATTTTAACACATGCACAGGATAACCCAAATTTACATTTTGTAGAATAAATACAAAATACAAATTACTTCCATATAGCATGCTAATGATAATTGTATATATATCCCTGACTAATACACTCCTGGAATAGATATTTATAATTGAAATTGCATCATGGCAATGAAAATTATGATTCTATAATACATATGGCACCGTTGAAAAACAGATGGAACTGAATTTTATGTGCCATTTGCAAGGGTTCTATATTAAGTACATTTAATGCAAGACTGGAATTTAAAGTTAATCAGAGAAGAACAGGAATTATAACCAATAATCTCTTCCTGAGAAATTTCTTTATAACAGGGGTGGGAAACCTTCTTTTGGGTTGGGGGCCACTGATACACAGAAAAAATCAGTTGGGGGCTGCACACAAGTGAGAAGCAACTAAACCCTCACGAATCTGTCCCTCAGTGGGGAAGGGAGAGCCCCAAGTCTTAGGGGCTGGATCCAGGTAAGCTGGGGGCTGCATCTAGCCCCTAGGCCTTACGTTCCCCACCCAGTTTTATAATATTGCTTATATACAGGACTCCCTAACAAAAACAAAAACAAACCCCGGTGTATGAACTCCCCCTTCTAGACTGCAGTGATCATTTAGCTTCCAGTGTTGTGATTTCTATCTGACCTTACTGATAATATTAGTGCACAAAAATAGAACAAAGCACAAAAATAGAACAAATATAACTGTTTGTTTCTAATTCACAAGAAACAAATAGAATTGCAGCAGCATCGCGTTTGCTTAGCTGTCTGAGCAACCATAAACAGTTCTAATGCTTACATTGCCTAACTACATAGGAAACTGACAAAGTGAACGGAAGTTAGACATCTAATCATCATTGGTACTGTTGAAAAGTTCCACAAACTGGCATTGATAAGAATTTAAAATCATAGACAATTCAGGCCATTGCTATCTATGACACTTCTGTCTGGACAGTCATCTGTTCTCTTACTTGAAACAACCCCAAAACACCAGCACCTTAGCATAGGTTTCCTTATATATAAGGGCGATCTCCAACAAAACCTCTCTGTGTTAAATATCAGGGCTCCCTGAAATTTCCAACAGGCTTGTTTCAACCTGATTGTTGAACACAGTCTCTACTTAGGAGCCTAGTTAAACTATTTATTCAGGTGGTCTAATAGTTAAAGCAAGGGAATGCATGTCACAGCCTTTAGGTTCTCTAATTATGAGGTTTTTAATTTGCTGAATGACCTTGAGCAATCAACTCTAACTAAATAATCAAAATATAGGATAATAAGAACAATCCATGAAATTGAGATGATCTAGCCTCTGTAAATGATTGCACCCCACTTTATCATATAAATCTACCAGTACACTGTAGAAAAGCTTGATTTTTAGAGGAGCTGAGCACAGACATATCTCCAGTTGAGTTTAATGAATGCTGCAGATGCTCAGTACTTCTTTGGACCTGGGATGCAACCATCTGAATTTACACAGACTTGTTTTGTTTGGTTTCATAGAAATGTAGCATTGGCCTCAGGAGGTCACTGAATGATCCATCCCACACACACGAAGGCAGAATTAAATGTACCTAGATGATCTTGACAGATGTTTGTCTAACCTGTTCTTAAAAATCTGAAGTGACAGGGATTCCGCAAGCTCCCACGTTAATCTGTTCCAGTGTCTCACTATTCCTAAAGTACAAAAGCTTTTCCTAATTTCTAATATAAATCTCCCTTGGTGCAAACTAAACTGATTATTTCTTATCCCACTGTCAGTGGACATGGAGGCTGCGTCTAGACTGGCATGATTTTCCGCAAAGGCTTTTAATGGAAAAGTTTTTCCGTTAAAAGCATAGATTGGTACGGACGCTCTTGCGCAAAAGCACTTTTTGCGGAAAAGCGTCTGTGCCAATTTAGACGCGGTTTTGCGCAAGAAAGCCCCAATCGCCATTTTCTCCATCGGGGCTTTTTTACGCAAAACAATTTTTACCTGTCTACACTGGCCCTCTTGCGCAAAAGCATTTGTGCAAGAGGGCTTATCCCTGAGTGGGAGTATCATAGTATTTGCGCAAGAACACTGACAATCTTACATTAGGTCGTCAGTGTTCTTGTGCAAATTCAAGCAGCCAGTGTAGTCAGCTGGCAAGTTTTTTCGCAAAAGCGGCTGCTTTTGAGGAAAAACTTGCCAGTCTAGACGCAGCCGGAGAGTAATTGTTATAAAGTCTCTTTATACAACCTTTTACATGTAAAGTGTGATGCCCCAGGTTTGACCACATTACCACATCGACCAGATATTTTCTTTGAGCTAGACCACATGAACATCCAGGCTTTTTTCTTGAGTGGTTACAGTTAATTTAGAGCCATTCATAATATTCTTTTATAATGCACATTAAACAGCATTTGCCAACAGTAGAACTGGTTGCAAAATTTCCAACTGAATGTTTTTTCTCTCAGAAAATGCTAGTTAATAAAAAGCAAAACTTGTTATAGAAATGTGTTGATTTTTACATTTCATTTCAGGAAAAAATTGGAAAAGGATTTTGATAAAGTTGAAATGCTGTTTTGACATTTTTAGAATGGAATGTTTCAAAACAACTTTTGAATATGAAATTTAATTTCAGGAAAATGTTAAAAAAATAAAATATCAAAATCAAAACAAAGCATTTCAATATTACCAAAACCAAAATGTCCCTGACTGAAAGTGATTTTGTTGTTAGAATTTTGTTTTGTGGGAAATGTTTTCCTCTTTTGTAACAGAAATTTTTTTTTAAAATCACAGAATTTTCTGTGGAAAACATAGTTTCTTTCAGTTCTAGTCAGTGAATTTCATCTGCTACTCATCTATCCAGGTTTTTCTTGGTTCCCACTGAATAAAATATAGCAACCTATAGTATACCCCAACAAAATCTCTCTCATACATGAAGCATTGAGGCCTCTCCCTTGCATAAATTATGAATGTCAACTGCTTCATTAGCCCAGGGGTGGATATAGGGCAGGGCTAGCGTGGCGGCCGCCCCGGGCCCCGCGCTTCAAGAAGCCCTGCGCATGCGACGTGGCAAAAGGGGGCCCTATATCCAGTGCTGCACTGGGCCCCGCAAAATGGTCATCTGCCCCTGCATTAGCCAATAACTTTACATTTGACAGCATGTGGATAAATAAGGTTGTTATCCATCAATGTCCCTGTAATCCTGAGAAGTCATTGAGTAGGACCAGTTTCAAATGCCATTATTACTTGTATTACTATAGTACCTAGACCCCATTCTGTTAGGTATTGTGCAAACACAGCTTTATTCTTTGCTTGTGATACACCCTTAATTTCTATTTGCCTAGTACTGCACAGAATTAAGTCCTTGCTCCCATTATTATGAAGTGTCATTGTTCATTCATAAGAACATTACAAGTCAGTTACCAGCCTGTCTCAAATGTCTCAATAGCAGAAAGTTTGTGTTAAATTTTGTCATTTTTATTTTAACTGATTCATGTTACAGGACTTGATAAGTGTTATTCTCCAAGAAATGGAGAAAAAAAAAGTTAAAATGGTAAAAGTCCAAAACAAAAGGCAAATGTTGAAAAACCTGTCTGTCAATGTTCCCTCTAATTTTTTCCATCCATGTGTAGAATAAATTTTATGTGCAATGAGGCATGTGCGGGTAGAAACATGCTGCTGGCAGTGGGTGCTGTGGGCGTTCTGCTAACCAGCTGGGTGTCATTTGTCATAGTCCTGGGTGGCCGCCCAAAAACTCAGCTTACATGGAACACTACTCACTGTGTCTGATTTAGTGTAACATCCAATTAGTGAGCACCCAAGCTCGGGATAGCGATTAGCACAGATTGCACCACATGCAAAGGGCGTATGCATTTCAATTTTCTTGATAAACTATCCTCAGAGCTCCCACAGCCAAGAATGGAAACACCTGTCACTTTTCTATACAAGCTTTAGAGTGGGGGTTATGGTTTACTACTGAGCCTACAAT